CAGGGCGGGATATAGAATTGGTAGACAGACAGTGCGAGATATAGAATTGGTAGACAGGGCGAGATATAGAATTGGTAGACAGGGCGAGATATAGAATTGGTAGACAGTGCGAGATATAGAATTGGTAGACAGGGCGAGATATAGAATTGGTAGACAGGGCGAGATATAGAATTGGTAGACAGACAGTGCGAGATATAGAATTGGTAGACAGGGGGAGATATAGAATTGGTAGACAGGGGGAGATATAGAATTGGTAGACAGGGGGAGATATAGAATTGGTAGACAGGGGGAGATATAGAATTGGTAGACAGGGCGAGATATAGAATTGGTAGACAGTGCGAGATATAGAATTGGTAGACAGGGCGAGATATAGAATTGGTAGACAGACAGGGCGAGATATAGAATTGGTAGACAGACAGGGGGAGATGTAGAATTGCTAGACATGGCGAGATATAGAATTGGTAGACAGACAGGGGGAGATATAGAATTGGTAGACAGGGGGAGATATAGAATTGGTAGACAGACAGGGCGAGATATAGAATTGGTAGACATGGCGAGATATAGAATTGGTAGACCGACAGGGCGAGATATAGAATTGGTAGACAGACAGGGGGAGATATAGAATTGGTAGACAGGGGGAGATATAGAATTGGTAGACAGACAGGGCGAGATATAGAATTGGTAGACAGGGGGAGATATAGAATTGGTAGACAGGGCGAGATATCCACACACGAATTGCTGCTCTTTACTTGACATCAAGCGACACCAACGCACACACTTATATCTATCTATATCTACCCATCCACCCACCCACCCACCCACCCACCCACCCAGCCAGCCAGCCAGCCAGCCATCCATCCATCCATCCATCCATCCATCCATCCATCCATCCATCCATCCATCCATCCATCCATCCATCCATCCATCCATCCATCCATCCATCCATCCATCCATCCATCCATCCATCCATCCATCCATCCATCCATCCATCCATCTATCTATCTATCTATCTATCTATCTATCTATCTATCTATATGTAAGTTAAGAATGTGGCCCTCAGCAAAGATGTACATGGTATATTAGCCTTCCCCCATTTGAAGATGTTCGGTGAAGTGCTAGAGTTTAAATAATGGATTAAGGAAGTGCATGTAAAGTAGGAAATAATTGGAATTTCTGGCATACTTTTTTCTATGGACAATAATTCTTTAATTCCAGCAATGTGGACAAAACAAAGATGACGTGTTCATATTGGGCAAGTGGGGTAATCTTTTAATGGGGGGGGGGGGGGGAGGGGGGGGAGGGGGGGGGGTAGCAGGGTATGCAGGTTCCTGTGGGAGGGGTAGCTTCAGTGTTGTTGTAGCCTATTCACTAATTTATTCTCTGCAATCTACTCAAACTGCAGTCACTGTACCATTTTGTTAGCCGTTTTGTAACCAGTTTCGTTTCACCAATCTCCGTTTTGTAACCAGTTTCGTTTCGCCAATCTCCGTTTTGTAACCCCTATATGTGGGATGCCTCCATTCTTGCAAACCCCATTTTCGTACCACAAATTTCTGCAAGCCGGTTTTGTAATCCCCCCCCCCCCTCCCACCCCCACGTTTTGAAGCTCAACTCCTTGCCAAGACCAAAGTTTACATCAACACAAACTGGCCAGGTAAGGAGACGAATCACCTGCCACATTAAAGTTGGTTTCAAGAAAACTTTAACTACACAAAGGTTGGGACGGGAGGGGGGGGGGATTCCATTTCCCCCAGTGCCGTTAGGTGGGATAAAAGCTACTCAAAGATCAATTCGAAAATAAAACAGCGGTTAAGGAAAAGAAAAAGATCATTTTAAAAAAATGTAAGTGAAAGTTCTGATTACATTTACACATGTAAGGACAAGTTTGATTACATTTACACCCGAGAATAAACAGAGCAAAGACGGGACTTATCGCTAGTATCTGCAAGCTGCGCATGCGTGGGTGGTACAGAGCACGCGCATACCTTCCGCGCATGTGCTTTAGTAACATCCCGTTGGACTGGCTCGTGCAAGGCTTAGATTGGAGGAAAAAAAATTTCTAAGACTCGCAGGCGGAAAAAAAAAACTGATCGTGGAGTTAAAACATTCTTGATAATCGTCTGATAGGAAACAAGGTAAAAATTACCCGAAGATAAACACCTGGTCGGCTGAAGAGATTTTTTTTTAATAATTACAGTCGGTGGAGCAGGTACAAATATGAGCAGCGTCGGCGACTTGCTGGGGGAGTTATACACTAGTGGGGGGGGGGGGGGGCTTACACTCCAGGGGTGGATCTACATCTAGAGATGGCTTCACGAGGATAATACAGTGTGTGTAGGGTGGGGGTGGAGGGAGGAGGACGTGGTCATGGTGGAGTGGGGTGGAGGTGGGGGCTAAACAAGGAATAAACCTCAGCCCTGTAAGTTGTAACTTGTTGGTTCCATGAGATTACTTTAATAAAGTGACATCTGTTTTTGTACGACATTAAGTAGATAGGTTTGTTTAGCTAGGTTTGTATGGATAGGTTTGTGTGGCTAGGTTTGTGTGGCTAGGTTTGTTTAGCTAGGTTTGTGTGGCTAGGTTTGTGTGGCTAAGTTTGTGTGGCTAGGTTTCTGTGGCTAGGTTTGTGTGGCTAGGTTTGTGTGGCTAGGTTTGTGTGGCTAGGTTTGTGTGGCTAGGTTTGTGTGGCTAGGTTTGTGTGGCTAGGTTTATGTGGCTAGGTTTGTGTGGCTAGGTTTGTGTGGCTAGGTTTGTGTGGCTAGGTTTGTGTGGCTAGGTTTGTGTGGCTAGGTTTGTGTGGCTAGGTTTGTGTGGCTAGGTTTGTGTGGCTAGGTTTGTGTGGCTAGGTTTGTGTGGCTAGGTTTGTGTGGCTAGGTTTGTGTGGCTAGGTTTGTGTGGCTAGGTTTGTGTGGCTAGGTTTGTGTGGCTAGGTTTGTGTGGCTAGGTTTGTGTGGCTAGGTTTGTGTGGCTAGGTTAGTGTGGCTAGGTTTGTGTGGCTAGCTTTGTGTGGCTAGGTTTGTGTGGCTAGGTTTGTGTAACTAGGTTTGTGTATAAAACACCCCGATGTTATTAATTCGATCAAAGCCACACAACGAAGTCAAACAGTTAATCATTACTCTTATAATGGCTACATTAGGCGCCATTCTTGTTATAAGTCAAATGATCTTAGCTTGAAAGGGAAAAAATGGAAGCAATAAACCCCGAACTTTCAAGAAAACAATCCACCTACAAATATGTTATCCACCATCAAATTTTAATATTCCACCTACCAATACGCCACCAATACATAATCCACCTACATAAGCGAATATGTTCTCTCTGAGATGGCTAGCATTTAACACACGTAAAGAAGATTCATCGATCGATCCTACGATACATTTTAGTTGCTTTTTTTTAAAGAACGATTATATAAAAAAAAGAAAGAAAAACCGCGAAACAAATCTGGAATAAAAAATGTAATTTCCCTTGACAGACGACAGAAATGTCAATGATGAAAGAAACCCACGTACCAACATACATACCGACAGGGACGGCTTTGATGCTGAGATGGGTATCGATTTTACAATTACACCTAGTTGGACGTCAGCGATGATTATTGATGAACATCCAACTTTTGCATAGAAGTTTTTTAAAATTCAAATTTAACTACGAATTATCGTTAATAAAATAAGGAAAACCATGGTAACGCATTATCACGTGCGAGCGGTTGACTTGACACAGTGGGATGGCTCATCAGCCGTGGCACCTATAGAATCAGTTGGGTGGCTCATCAGCCGTGGCACCTATAGAATCAGTTGGGTGGCTCATCAGCCGTGGCACCTATAGAATCAGTTGGGTGGCTCATCAGCCGTGGCACCTATAGAATCAGTTGGGTGGCTCATCAGCCGGTGCACCTATAGAATCAGTTGGGTGGCTCATCAGCCGTGGCACCTATAGAATCAGTTGGGTGGCTCATCAGCCGGTGCACCTATAGAATCAGTTGGGTGGCTCATCAGCCGTGGCACCTATAGAATCAGTTGGGTGGCTCATCAGCCGTGGCACCTATATAATCAGTTGGGTGGCTCATCAGCCGTGGCACCTATAGAAACAGTTGGGAGCACGCGTCGTGTTAGTGGCGGAAAATGGATATCGAAATGGATATTATATCGTACACCCTTGTCATTAGGTCTTGTTTTTTTTTTCCTTGTTTTTTTTTGTTTTTGTAAATATTAAATAAAAGAAGAAAGAAGCGAGAAAATACTCTTTAAAAAACAATAACTGACATTACTAAAAAAACGTGTTTGAAGTTTGATTCGTACTCATCTCACGCAACCCTCCGACATACATTATTCATTAAAAAATAGTTCAATCAACACACATATTTAACTCAGCTTTTAAGTTAACAGAGCAGAACTAGGGGTAATGTCGCAAGAAAGACAACACAATTTAAAATAAGAATGGTGGATTACATCCCTTTAACATTTACAGAAATTTTCCATTCGATGCTATGTAGGAGAAAACAGTAACAGTACTTGCACATTTTTATTTTTTTAAACGGCGATTTAAAATTTTAAAAATATTTTCGTTTAATGTAAAAACAAATCAAAACAACAATTAAAATGCAATAGTGTGACGTGACTCAACCAACACAAAAGACGCCCCCCCCCCCTCTTACACAAATAGTGTTGCATCAATTATGGACGACACTATAAAATCAATGTAACTTGATATTCTGAAATTCATTCTGAACCACTTTTTAAAATAACGAAATAACTCAATACTGACACTACATAACTGCCACACGAATAATCATTCGCCATAGTTTTTCAGTGAAAAAAAAACAACAAGGGGGCTTTAATGTCATGGGTAAAGATAGTCAGTACAAGACCAAGTCAGAAAACTAGCAGTTGGATTAGCCAAAACTTAAAACAACTGGAGTAGTACGACATAGACTGAATTGGGAAAAAGTTGAGATTTAAAAAGTCAAGCACGTTTGTAAAAAGGCTGCAGTTGAAACTTACTGTAATCGTCTGCCAGGAGATGGATGTCGTCCAGTTCGATCTGCGAGTCAAGGTCGTAGGTCGGGTTGGAGACGGCGTTGGTTTCTTTGATTTCCTTTAGCGGCGGCTGGTGGCTGACTCCAGTCTGGTTGGCTTGGGCTGGGGGAGGTCAATGGTCGTTATTATAGCTGGATATACTGTCTGTGTGTCTGTGTGTGTCTGTGTGTGTCTATCTGTGTGTGTAGCTGTCCGTGTGTGTCTATCTGTGTGTGTATCTATCTGTCTATCTATCTATTTATCTGTATCTTTCTGTCTATATATCTGTCTTTTTATTTATCTACATTTATTTTATTTATACACATACATATACATACGTACATACATACATACGTACATACATACATACATACATACATACATACATACATACGTAGCCTACATACATACACACATACATACCCACACTCCTATAACAAGCTACAGACAAATGCCTCAGTATCACCTATATTACACCATCAACAACCACGTCATGAGCATGTCATGTACTCACCCAGGTACTCCTGAAGCTTGTCGTACTTTGGACCGTGTCGGAACCTGACCAGCTTAAGCCTGACCATCTGACCAGTGTTACGTAACACCTCCACGGCCTGATGATTGGAGAAACCCTGCAGGGACCTGCCGTCTACCTGTGAAAAAGAACAAACGTTGACAGGTGAGTAACGGCCAATCAAGTCATTGGGCATGTCATGTTGTCCAAAAACTATAGACTGGAACCCCCAGGGAAAAAGGAAAGTTGGCCGGCCAAAGAGATCACGGAGAAGAACGGTAGAGGAAGTGGTAAAGACCGCTGGGCTACGGTGAGCGCAGATAAGGAGAGACGCTCAAAACCGAGTCAAGTGGAGAGGTGTGACTGGAGCCCTTTGCTCCCCATGAGAGGTGTGGCTGCTGCCCTTTGCTCCCCAGGTGCCACAAAGGAATAAGTCAAGTAATTATGTGGTTGTCCACACATAAAAACAAGCACAGTCATCTGTTTCAAGCATATTGTTTCTATCTGTTTGAAGTTTCTTTCTGGCAAATTAAGCAACGACATTGGTCTAGTGAAATGTAATGCAGCAAACAGGTGGACATGCAAAGTATTGCCATCAGATTCAGTGAATCTCATTAGCACACAATCTGTTTTAATGTTCAACAATTAATTGATGCATACTCATCTAAAGGTCGAAACGGTTGTAAGATTTATACTGTGAATATGGTTTAGAAACTTGCGATTTTTCCAAGCATATATGTGATGGCTCAGGCCGACGAAAGAATTAAAAAACTTATTTTTTTAGAAATATTATGGGTTAATTCTAATAAAAATGTCGAAAGGGTCGTACAGTTTTTCCCCAATGAAATTACTTATATCCGGGTAATATCCGGGTTTTAACACACTTTCCAAGGTTCCCCCCTCCCCCCCCCCTCCGTCATTTGAAACAGTAGCTAATTTTGTTATGCCACTATTCAGACACCACGTGAATACGACATCAACCAAAAGACGCGGATATTTCGCATAACGTTTTATATTCAGATGATTAGGGTCGTAAAATCAATTACAGCAATCAAACTTATATATTTTTCAATTAACGTTGATGTTACGATTGTATAACAGAATAACGACAGTTTAAGTATTTTAAGTAGTGTTTTATTAAACCAGTGAAAACCAGCGTTAGGGAAAGCAGTTAGATTTAGGCTTGTTTCTATGGCTAGTGTAATGTCCAGCTGGCCAATGTGGCCAGTGTAATGTCCAGCTAGCCTATGTGGCCAGTGTAATGTCCAGCTAGCCTATGTGGCCAGTGTAATGTCCAGCTAGCCTATGTGGCCAGTGTAATGTCCAGCTAGCCTATGTGGCCAGTGTAATGTCCAGCTAGCCTATGTGGCCAGTGTAATGTCCAGCTAGCCTATGTGGCCAGTGTAATGTCCAGCTAGCCTATGTGGCCAGTGTAATGTCCAGCTAGCCTATGTGGCCAGTGAAATGTCCAGCTAGCCTATGTGGCCAGTGTAATGTCCAGCTAGCCTATGTGGCCAGTGTAATGTCCAGCTAGCCCCAGTGTAATGTCCAGCTAGCCTATGTGGCCAGTGAAATGTTCACTGAATGACTGAACACACACACACACACAGTCACATAAACTATTATACAAATTGTACATAGTATAGTGACACGATCTATAATGCTCACATGATGACACGCTTTTGTTTACATGAGCTCGCAAAATATTTACTTGAAACATACCGCCCAGATCACGGATCAGCGAGTTGTATACTAAGAAAAACTCCACCAAGATCTCAGCGCTTACGGAAACTTTTTAAAGTTTACCCTGATGAATGAGACGTTCTCGGGAATGTTATGAAAAGAAACTTTTGTATACCACAATAAGAATGGCCATCAAATGTGGTTCAGCTGCGTCACAACGCTATCACTGAAACCGTGTTTGTCTTAACTTTCAAGCTGTTATTTCATCCAACCCTTTCACATTAATAATTGATCTGGCCAGCTATGTTCTATTCTGATATTAATATAGTCGGATCAACCCAGACAAATACCTAAAGAAATTGGCCACAATAGGACATACAACAGCGAGAGAAAGGGGGTATTACATAAGTTATGACTAGTTTTGGTATCAGAAGGAGCTTCAAGCTCCAGATGAAAGTAATAGACTGCACAACTAGTGAGCTGGGTTCTTGTATAGGGTAAAGAAGTACCGGACAAATTAATACACAGTGTACACTTTAATTTACCATTCCAATCAAGACGGGATTAATTAAGCCTGGCCAACGCATGTTCATTAGCAACAAGTACAGAGTGAAGTGTTCATTAATTAATTAATCGCCGACAACAGAAGAAAATGTGAAATAAATTGAGATAAAGGTTAGGGTTTTCAGAAAGCTAGCAGGGCTTATATTAACCGTCGTAAGGATATTGGATGCTTTCGGTGAAAAGATGGATATCTTATGGATATTGTTCCTGTGTACCACACAGCGTAAGTACAGTAAATCCGTGAGATCTGTGATTTAGTTTTACAATAAAGTAAAATGAATAGCTCCACTATTTAGTTTGATGGACGTGTACAATAATAAAGTACAATGAATAGCTCCACTATTTAGTTTGATGGACGTGTACAATAATAAAGTACAATGAATAGCTCCACTATTTAGTTTGATGGACGTGTACAATAATAAAGTACAATGAATAGCTCCACTATTTAGTTTGATGGACGTGTACAATAATAAAGTAAAATGAATAGCTCCACTATTTAGTTTGATGGACGTGTACAATAATAAAGTACAATGAATACCTCCACTATTTAGTTTGATGGACGTGTACAATAATAAAGTAAAATGAATAGCTCCACTATTTAGTTTGATGGACGTGTACAATAATAAAGTAAAATGAATAGCTCCACTATTTAGTTTGATGGACGTGTACAATAATAAAGTACAATGAATAGCTCCACTATTTAGTTTGATGGACGTGTACAATAATAAAGTACAATGAATAGCTCCACTATTTAGTTTGATGGACGTGTACAATAATAAAGTAAAATGAATAGCTCCACTATTTAGTTTGATGGACGTGTACAATAATAAAGTACAATGAATACCTCCACTATTTAGTTTGATGGACGTGTACAATAATAAAGTACAATGAATAGCTCCACTATTTAGTTTGGTGGACGTCTACAATAATAAAGTAAAATGAATAGCTCCACTATTTAGTTTGGTGGACGTATACAATCACTAAGTACAATAAATAGTTCTATAATTTGGTTGTATGGAGCTAATACAAAAAGGATACGATATGACATAACTAGCAAAAGCAACACGTAAAAATCAATAACGTGGTATAAAATTTTAATTTTCGAGAACTGACAAAAGAGTGGTTTAAAAAAATCCATATCATAGAGCAATTTGAAACAAAATTTCTTTCTTGTTCTCAGATCTACACGGAATCACCGATGCCAATTCGATCGGCTATTACTTCTTGTCGGAAGGTGATCTACTGTGGTTATCTAACGTTAGCAAAACCTTTAATGGGGCTCGGGATGTGTGTAGGAGCATGGAAGGGCGGCTGGGGACGTTTGGTACCAATGATGAGTACTTTAAAGTGAAAACACTGTTGGGCGATTACTTTAGACAGGCGGCTGAGGTTTGGATTGACTTCAACTTTACAGTTACAGACTCGAACTCCAATTTTTACTGGAGGAAAGAAAAGTTCAATTCCTCAGTGTGGGCCCCTAGTGAACCGAGTGTAGAATGTCTCCCGGAGTCTCAAGTACAATGCTGTGCCAGAATGAGTTGGTCGGGTCCTATGGTGTACGAGGGTCTTAAAGACAACGTGTGCTCGGCGGAATATTTGTTTCTGTGTCAGGTCAAGATGGCCGACTGTACTTCCGGTTACCAGTACAACTTGACAGACAACTCGTGTCAGGATGTTGACGAGTGCGTGTCGGGAATTTGTAAAAGCGAGTGTCCGGTACTTCAGTGCAGCTGCTCCAACACTCCAGGAAGTTACCGGTGTGACTGTCCGGCTGGCTACACCAAGGTGGACGGCGTGTGTGCTGACGTCGACGAGTGCCAAGGGAACCACACCTGCTCACAGCTGTGCCAGAACACACCAGGCGGCTACACCTGTCTGTGTAGACTGGGGTACACGCTAGCCGGGGTGACGTGTGTGGACGTCGACGAGTGCCTCAACGAACCGAACGTGTGCAAGAAAACTTGCAACAGCGACAGCTGCCCGCGGGAGTGCCGGAACACGGAGGGGAGTTTCTCGTGCGAGTGTCGCGAGGGGTTCTACAAGGCGAGTGATAAATGTTTGGACGTTGACGAATGTCAAGGTCGTCATAACTGCTCCCAGAAATGTGAAAACACACCCGGCAGCTACAGGTGCGCGTGCGAGGAAGGGTTTAAACTACAAGGCGATTCTCAGAGTGAGTGTGTTGACATCAACGAGTGCCTGATGGCGAATACGTGTGAGCACAACTGCACGAACACGATTGGCTCGTTTAACTGTAGCTGTCGAGACGGTTACTCGCTGGGTCCTAACGGGAAAAGTTGCCATGACGTCAACGAGTGCCGTGAGGGTCCCAGCATCTGTGACGTCATGTGCCCAGACAGTGAGCACTGTTTTAGGACCTGCGTTAACACACCGGGCGGCTACACGTGCGAATGTGCACCTGGATTCCACGAGATTGACGGCGAGTGTGTGGACGTTGATGAGTGCTATGTTAATCCCACCTGCTCACAGAGGTGTGAAAACACACCTGGCCGTTTCAGGTGCACGTGCGACGATGGGTTTCAAATTTCGCTATCAGACAACACGCAGTGTGACGACATCAACGAATGTCTAGATGACCACCACTACTGTGACCACGACTGCACCAACACCAACGGCTCCTACTACTGCACGTGTCGTACCGGCTACCACCTCAACACCACCGACAACAAAACTTGCAACGACATCAACGAATGTGACAACACAACTCTCTGTCAACACCGCTGTCACAACACGCCTGGATCTTACTTCTGCGCATGCCCAGACGGGTTCCAGACTTCCTCTGATGGTTCGACCTGCGTCCGACGAGCCTCGTCCAGCTTCTGTCCATGTCAATGTTATCTCTTAAAGAAAAACATGGCGGCCATCTTGCAG